TGACACACTGAGGTCCTGCCTTGATTTCCACTACTTTCAGCAAGAGCTGCAGAACAGAAGGGGCAACAGAATTGCTCTGTTGTGCTCCACTGATTGAAAGGAAGCAAAAAAACCCAAAACCTCCAGAGCTGTCACCTGTTTCTAAGCAGAAGGAGAAAAGAGAAGAGAAACATTGGCACTGGTTTCATGACTTGAGGGGCTAAGGACTCTATGGTTCTAGGTCTAGCACAACAGCCAGCCAAGACATGATCCCCTTCCCAGCCCTAACTCAGAAATCATAAAATGAACCTCTTTCTTAGCTTCCCTGATTTTATTGGAGTCCCTCACCGCCTCTTCACTTCTCCCTCCCCCACACCAAAGGCTCCCAATACCCGACAGATTAATGTAGCTGACTATATTGCCAGGTGGCAGAAAAGGACTGCTGATGGGCTCCAGGACTTTTCTGGTCAGGTTTGCTCAGGTTGCCCATATCAATAGCTCTCCCTTGACTGCAGAGTGTCATCACTGCTCCCCCCACCTCCACCCCCACAAGGAAATAGATAATAAAAAGTCTCATTAAGGAGTCACCTGGACACAGCTTACAGGCACCTTCTTCATTCACAATCCAGTAAGGTAGTACGTCTAAGTGATAACAGTCATGCTCATACATGTCTCCCAGACCACAAACCAGACACATATTAAAGACAACTATTTGTATCCGAAAAAGCATGCATGCATTCATTCACAGGAACACACACAGACACATCTAACCCTTGGACATTCAATTATGTTTCCAAGAAATATGAAATGACCTAAGGCAGTACACTGAACTTCTAGAGATTAATATTTGCTAGTTGAACTGCGTGCACATTTTTTATTTACAGTACGTCGGTTATACATACAAGAGATAGCATGTTACGCCATGGTAAAGATAACTAAATCCAAGGACTATGTCCCACAGTATTTTGACCTTAAAGTTTCTGTAGAAATGACAAGCTTAATCTGTTATGACAAATTCTACCTAGCTGAATATACAACTCGTTTAAACCAAGAAATGAAAAAACCTTTTCTGAATCCCTTATCTCATCAGCTAAGGTTTTTCATCAGCTTGTAAACAAATCTCCTTTCAAAAAAAAAAACAAACCAAAAATCCCCCCAAAAACCTAGAAAGAATCACAACACCTACAAACAAAGGAAGAAGATCAAAGCCACAAACAGACTACAAATGAACTCAGCTTACAACTGCCATTTGTTCTAAACTCATGCAATACGAGCTCTTAATTTACTGTTAAATATAACCTTTGATGGTAAAAGTAAAACTCAGGAGAGTCAAGATACTCATTAGCACACTTTATCTAGCACTGGCTAATGAAGAAGCAAGCTAAAACAAAACAAAACACAAAAAAACCCACCAAAACTGGTTTCTTTGAAGAATACCTTTCCTATCAGTTTAATACAGCTTCAGTGCATGCAGCTCAAGTATTAGAGATAAATTTTAAACTCACCCAGAAAATCTAGCAGAGATAATAGTGTGCAAAGAACCTTAAGTTACACTTCTCCTACAACTATATAAAAATACCTTAGAATATAAAAATACTAGAACCAAACTGCTTTTGAAATGCAGGTTCTGATAGCTGCTAGAAATAGCACAAGGGAAGTCTGCTTTGAAACAATACTTACTAACCTTGTGCCAAAGTCACTGCAGAAAACGTTTCAAGTTGCACTTGCTCTGACACAAACGCCTCAATAAATACTCAGATTAAAACCACCAAATTATCTTCGGGTTTCCCTCACACGTTTTAATTGTTCGGCAAAAAGTATCCGTGCTCATCTCTACCTTCTCCGCTTGACACTGAAGGGTTCATCCCAATGTCAAGAAGCGGGGGGGGGAACAAAAACCCAACCCATCACGCACACTACGTACCGCGGAACCGATTTGGGGAAGG